GGAGTGGTCAGAGATTTTTGATGGGACTGATGCTTGTGTTACACCTGTGTTGTCTTTTGACCAGGTGAGCTCACACCCACATAACCGGGAAAGAGGTTCTTTCATGAAGGACTCCAGTGGGGAAGAAAGCCCCCGACCAGCCCCGGTTCTGTCTCGCACTCCTGCTGAGCCTTGCCTCACCTCCGACCCCGTTACTGGAGAACACACGGCTGAGGTCCTACAGGAGTACGGCTTCACATCCCCACAGATAAACCAGATGCTGTCAGCAGGAGTCATAGAGTGCAATGCTGTGAAGGCAAAGCTGTAAACAAACAATCAAAACAGTCAAGTTATAAATGTTTGAAAATCACACAGTGGCACCACCTTTTAAGATTTGAAGGAATCAGTAATTAAACATGTGATTGACATACTGGAAATAAACAACTGGTTTGGATAAAGTAAAGCTACATGCAGAGCACATTTGAGTGACTAACAGTAAGATCTGCCATTCAGATTATGTCTAACATAACTGCGAACAAATCAAAAGAGAAACTAAGAAAGTTATTTTCTTTTCATAAACTAGGATTTCACAGGAGGCTGCTGTGTGCAAAGTAAACAAAGATTTTTACTAATTCACTTCTGCCTATGTGTCTTGATTGGACAAGACGTCCTCAGAATATGTGAGTGGATTTTTTTTTTTGCAAAGCACACCTACTCTATTAATCATAAACTACTGATATCTGCTAAATTATCCAGCTCAGGGTGAGCAATGGTCATACATAGCAAAAGAGGATTGGTTATCTCCTGAAAGCTCAGCAGTACCAATAACATTAAATTAATCAAACTTTGTTGTTGTTTTGCTCTCCCACAACAGCTTTTGATTTGTGTGCACTAATTCTGACACACAGATTGTTTAGAAAAAATGGTTGTAGCCAGACATGATGTCACCCACTAAAATCATCTTTTCAAGACGTTGGCTTGGGGTTTCAAAGCTCACCCTGCGTTTTTTTATTCTAAAGAAGGCCATAATTTACACGATGAATGTCAAGCTGTATTAAATGAGATCAGAAACCAGTGTTCGTGATTCATCGGTAAACTGTTTACTGAAGTTTTCAATTAGCATTAGGCTTGTTTATATCCAGAGGAGCTGCCCCCTGCTGGCTAATTGAAAGAATGAAGTTCTGAGGGACTTCCATGGGCTTAACTTTTCAAAACCACATGGAGACCTGTGTCTAACATTCAGTAGACATTTCAGAGACAGGAAACGTTACGCCTACAAAGTGAAAGTAAAACTACTGCATTGATTATGTTGACAGGAGGCAACTTGGTCCTTTTTCGTGTAAGTGAAGTTTAAGTCACTTACCAATATCTCTGTTGCAAGCTACTAATGCAACTCTGCAAGCTCAAGTTAGGAGGCTCTGAAGATGATTCAGATTGACTAAAGAAATTACTCAGTAGCTCATTGGGTATACATGTTCAGCTGCTTGTTAATCCTAATCCAATTAGCCAGTCACCTGCTGAAGTTCAAACTGAGCATCAGAATGGAGATGGAAGCTGATTTAAGTGATTTTAAACAGGGCACAGATGTTGATATTTCAGAAATGGCTGACCCGGCAGGCTGGCTGCCTGCTCAGCCCTCTCTAAAGTTCAAAGGTAATGGTCCTAAAAAGAGAAAATATCCCCTGAATGGCAGTTATTTGGGTGAAAATGTTTGGTTGATGCCAGAGCCCCGATTAGAATAACCATTCATTGCAGTCAGTGTATGCTGAAGAGCATTTGTGAATTCACAACACCTCAGATCTTGAAACTGATGGGCTACAGCAGCAGAAGACCACACCGGGTGCTGTTCCTGTTAGATAAGAACAGGAAAAAGGCTGCAATTTGACAGTGAAAGAATGATAACGCATTGCATGCTCCAATGAGTCTCGAATTGCAGGAAATGGTCAGAAATTGATGTAAAAAACAATTCTGCTTTGTATCAATGGTTCATCGTTGTGGCGGTGTAATGGTGTGGGGAATATTTTCTTGACACACTGGACCCCTGAAGCAACTGAGCATCATTTAAATACCAATGTGTCCATGCCAGCTGGCCCAACCCCCTCTGTGACCCTATGTTGGATAAGATTTACATAGATGCATGCATGCATGTATGTCAGAGGGCCCGGTGGCGCCAGTGTCCGGCAGCCTCGCCTCTGTCAGTGCGCCCCAGGGCAGCTGTGGCTACAATGTAGCTTGCCATCTCCAGTGTGTGAATGTGTGTGTGAATGGGTGAATGACTGAATGTAGTGTGAAGCGCTTTGGGGTCCTTAGGGACTAGAAAAGCGCTATACAAATGCAGGCATTTACCATTTACTATGTATGTATGATTGATTGACTAACCTTGTAGTTATGTGAAGAGAACAAGTAAACTGCATTACCTAAATACAAATGATGTGGAAGAACATGAGAAATTACCATAGTTATGTTTAGTATGCCTCGAGACAGTCAGTAACATCTCAGAAATATTATTAAATATTTATTTAAAGCCCACTACTAATAAATACAGACCTTTAAATTTAAATTTTAGAGCCCCAATCTGCTCAGCAGAGAAGATGGTGAAGCAAAGAAAAGATGTGCAAATGAGATACTTTCCTCCCTACGTATTCATAAATACTTGCAATCACTCATAGATGTTGTTAGTCGTGCATATTAAAAGTGCTAACGAGTTTCCAGAGGATTGAAAACATAAATGAAACATAAACATAGTTTCACAA